TATATATATATATATATATATATATATATATATATATATATATATATATATATATATATATATAGTACTTACAGAGAATATTCCACGATTACATCCCACTAGTGCCTACAGACGCGATGCATCATTTCATTCTACAACAAAAACTTACAGAAGTACCGCCCTGCGAAACAACAGCAGCACCATCGGCTAATCGGGCTATATGTCCAGCTTCAAAACAAATCACGTCTCGCTCACTCCCACCTACATGTGCATCGATCCGCGTACTTCCTGAGGCTTTGACCGTATCCAGCAATAAATAGAACTGACATTTCCTTAAAAACGCTTTGACTGCTCGTGTCCTGTATAGAAGCATCTAAAAAATTGAAAGTAGATTGAGCACCATTCAGCGCAGTATAGAACTTTAAAAACCTACAGAAGAGCAAGTTACCATGGCAAAAGAGTCGAACTATGCGGTAAGTATCGACACACAAGGTATATCATCAACTGGTAGCAGATTCTTTGAAAACTATGAACTCTGTTGCAACTCATTCATGTAGGTTTCTTTATTCAATCTGACCACGGATCTTTTTGATGAAATCAGTAGCTCCTGAGAAACGACATAAATAGGCCGTGACGAAGCCAATACATATCAAATCACAAGTCCTTGCTGGTACTTGTAACACTCAAAGATTTCGTTGAAGCTTTGTTCAAATTTAAAGAACCATAACTCGTAACATATTTAATAGCAATTGTGGATTAAGATCAGTTCTAAAATGCTAAGACTAGTCGAACATACAACAGGTTTTAATGGTTGACAACTGTATCCAAAAAATGACCGATTCCAGCGGTAAATGAAGATGGACATGAATCATTCACCTGTTTAAGAAAATTTTCAAAGGCGTAGAAATCGACAACACTGCGGCGATTATCAGAAAAAAGCAAAGGTTCCGTAAGCTGCCTGCAAAACTCCTGGTACGCTGAACTTGCAAAAACAATTTTATATAGAGATGCAGAAATACACAAAACATAATTCTTGTGAATTTTAATAATCTGTAATTCGCACACAAAACTATGCCCAACTTCAGAAAACAGACGACAGCAGTGATCGAACTCTGCCGCTACAAAATATAGAGGGAACACCTAACACTCATGAATATCCAGTGCCCGTCCTCATCTAGCAGTGGAACAAGAGAAATCTCATGGATATGAAACAAGATTACTTTCCCGCCATTAACTTTTTACCTTCCTACTATTGATGGTCTAAGGTAAAATTGATACTCATGCTTTATAAGCATATAAGCATAATGGAATGTTTTAGTCTTTGCATCACCTAATATTGCCTCTGTAAAAAATTAACAATGAAAACAAAGATATACTCCGTAATAATTCCATCACAATTATCCCGATTTTGGCTTGTTTCGGGTACCAAAATGGCATGAATTATTACTAAAGTGATAAAGGCAGAAAGGCAGGCAGCCTTTGATATGACCATGTATACAATGTGCAAAGATGTATCAGAATGTATGGCTTAGCAATATAATTTGAATTTAATTGAAATCTCAATCCTTCATTAATAAGGCAACAGTACAATAGTCAAAAAACGACAGCTTAGCAAAACTCACGTGTCAAAATTGAAATATACTTTCTAGTATTGCAAGGAAGAAAAAGGAAAGAAAAGCATCGCATAATCAGAAAAAAAATACATTCGTATAAGAGAGAAATTTGCAAACACAATTCCAGAGAATGGAATGTTAAGTTTTATACAAATAAACTGAAGGCTAATGCTTAAATAAATTTCCAATACAAAGAACTCGCTACAAATAACACACACGAATAAAGATGAAACGTTTTAAATTCACACTGATGCGTAACCTTGACGCTTCGCTCGAGCTCGGCCAACCAAATATGCAATTAAAACAATGATCACCAATGCCGCAAGGCATACTCCAACAACGATAGGCACTAAATCGGAGGTACGAACATCCAGTTGGCAAATGTCGTATTCTACAACGTTTATTAAATTATTCAAATGATTACTCGGTTATCTTATCTACACTTCTCTAATTCTTATCTCTCAAGTGCCTTTGAACTGATTTGAGAGACAATGATGGATGAAAACACAAACAATAATCACTGTTTTATAAGCAATCATACCGTATGAAAGGTGAAACTGGAAATTTGTTTTTGCACAGAAAACTTACCTTGGTTTTCGGGAAAATCAGTAGTATTGAGACGAGCGTATGCAATGAGCCGTATATTATGAAAAGTTACTGTGGAGCCCCCTTTGAAGTTAAGAACTGCTTCAGAACATTTGTATGCTTCATTGCTGCTGGTGCTCACGTCAAGCTCTGCATGCTCATCCATCACGTACATGTGGCGTGACTCTACGAATATACTGCATATAGTATAAGTTCTTAAACCATTAGGTAACAGTTTGCCATATTTCTAAATGTTTATAATCCAACGTCATTTATATCTCAACATAATTGGATGCCTCCAATCTCAAATTTGAATAATCTCGTAAAGATTTCTCTTCCCTTAAATTCCTAAATGCATGCTATCCGAAACATTCCTAAGCTTTTTGTTCAGCAGGGAAACTATACCTGTCGCGTTCACTTTTTGTTCGAAGTATGCTGCCAATGTAAAATTACTGATCTGGAACAAATCATCTTTCTGCTTGAAATAAATTGTTAAAGCTGATTTCTTCAGACCAATATAACTTTCGAAACTGCAAAACAATTTTTTCAATACTGCCTCCCCTACAGACACAGTGTAACAACTAATTTCCTTCACAAATTTGACACCAAACATGAAACTTGAAAGTATTCTTCCTATTCTGAAAAAAATAAGTGATAACAAAGAAAATAACGCGTGGAAATGTTAAACAGCTGATAATTATGGAGTGATGAAATCAGGTTTTTGTATATTATAATGCAAGAATTATTTTAATAGGTGTTAGGAAAAATCCAGAGACTTATTAGATTGGTTGCCCGATGAAATAGGGAAAATAATGCTTGCATATAATATCTTCAACATAAAAGCTTTACTTAATTCTGCTCTTGAAATAATTAATATTGCTATTATGATAGCATAGGGAATATAGGAAGGAAACCTTATGTTAATGTATTGTGTTCCACTGCAGGAACCATCTTCGTACCCACTGATGTTGAATCTTAATTGCTCCGTGCTATTGTCAGACTACAAATTAATATCATTAATATGTGGATGGTATGTGAACTTAATTTCAGTTAGAAAACGTTCGAAGTTAAGATGAACTGAGATTTCTAGCAAAAAAGTAGCATATTTTATTTGATTTCAAGTAAAATAGAGAGAACTAATCAAACCTTCGTGTAATGAAGGACAGCAGTAATATTTGAATCCAGAATGATGCAATATGTGTTTGTATCTTTGACAGCATAGTGATCAGATGAGATGATTGGAACATATACTGCTGCAAATGAGTGATAAAAGGAAAAAGATATTTAACACCTTCTTGAATAATTCGGAAAAAGTATTTCAAAAAATTCAAATATTTCTATGAACATAAGAACGTGACACTTCAGATAGAAACCCGAACGGAAATGAAAAATTAAAAAAATGAACTCATACCGAAGAGCATCAAGAAAAACACTGACACCGTGCTCATTGTTATATAAAAACTTTAGAGAACTTCAAATCTGAAACAGTAAGAGCGACGAAATGACGGTTTTGCACTAGCTATCTGACTGCATTTGATGAGATGAGAGAATTTCAAACAAAGATCTTGAATTGAGTGCAAAACATCTCGAAAATTGTAATTAGGGGATATAGACAGACGGAAGTAAACGAGGCTGCCGACAAGTACCGACAGTTGCCTTACGCAAGCAGTCCAAATAGCTATACATTAGCTCTTTGGAGCCTACTACTGTAATATCCTTGGATAACAGTAGAAAGCCAAAATTTAGGGTTGATAACCAAGACAATACACACCAACTTGTTGATAGCAATTTACAACTTCCTTCCAGCATGATACAAACATAATCACAAGTTCTCCAATATGGAGGAAAGAGAATGGTTTCGACAGGAAATATACATCAGAGCTAATTATTCAACAATTTCCCACACCTAATTCTTTCATCCTAATGCGAAAGGCAACGGCATGTCAGTACTAATGTACTAATGACCACTCACTGAATACCACCGATCCTTAGCACGGCAATAATACAGCTCGTCCCTATAGTGTACGTCGCACAAATGTTAGAAGGTATTCCAGAGATGTCTCCTAAATCCAAAGGAAAGATGCAGTTGTTGCTTTTGTTTTGCCTTTTGTCGCAGTTGTCAAAATTGCTTATAGATAAAGGATTGTCAAGAGAAAACATTGTTTCTTTTCCACTCCAAATAACATATTCCCATCAAATGATACATTCTACCAAATCTTTTTTTCACAAACTATCTTGACATGATATAAAACAGAAAAGAAAGGAACTGAAGTACATCACGAGTCCAATAGCATCCGTAGTAAATTTTATTCTGAACGAAATTTGCATTCCTGTTAAACTGCATGGTTATGACAAGTTTTGAAAATCAAAATCACATCAGTTATTCGAATACATAAATAAACGTCTTTTTTTCGGTTCCACACATTTCTCTTCTTTCTCTAGTGAAAGCAAACAATAAATGTTTTCAATCCGTTAAACAAAATCGAAAATCACAAGTTATAGTGATCACTTATACCTTCTCAACTCTCAAGAATGATAGAACACTGGAAAATGGTTCTATTCTGTACAAACAAACAAGCAGGCGCTTTAATAAAACAGTGCAGCATCTAACACTTAAAAAGGTGGAGGTAGGAACATAGGTGGTGGTACTGGTGATGGTCGTATCATTGCAGCAGCTGCAGACGGAGGTGGAGGTGGAGGTTCATCGTGCTGGGACATTCGATCGAACCGAAATGCGAACTGCATAAAAAACTGAAAACGGCTGTGGTTATATTACTAAACAATAGAAATGCAATAAACGACTTAAATAAATTAAGAAGACGTATCAAGTTAACAGATATTTTAGTCAAGAATAAACAAGTTGGGTTATTCAGTCATTTCTCATTGTGTCCTATTACTCATTACTGTTATATATCTTTTGTTATTCTCTTCTCTTTCTCCCATTTGTTATAAAAGATTACGATTTTCATTTGCTAATAATCTTCTGACGAAGAGTGACTAGGAAAAAAGCACTAACTATAAACACATCTTTATTTATGAGCCCTGCTAATTCAATAACTTTTAACAAACAATAAGCAGTTAAAGGAACTCTTATCAAAAAACAGTGTACTATCACGGTTTTATTGCTCACAATAAATTTTACTATTGGTTTGAAATTATGCAATTATGTCAAATGAAAGTCAAGTTAACGGATGACAGTCGTTCAGAACGCTTAGAGCATTTCGATGACTAATGATAATTTGGATCACATTTGAAAAGCAACGCTATATGAAACAGATTATTAAATAATTCCCCAACCTGTTTGGTATCTTTATTCCATAAAGTCCAAAACTTGTCTTCCGCTTTGTCTACCTCTCTCGATGGTATCTTGAAAGCAATCGTTTCGTACGGTTCAGCAGCAAACAGAATGTACTGCCAACGTTTGTCAGGTGGCTGCACCTTTTGTTCATAAGCTGACATAAACCTGTATATTTTAAAAATAAATTTTTTATGCATTAAAAAACCATTTGGAGATCCATCTGATGATGAGGACACCTACTTTTTAATGAAGACTGTATAAAGACCTACCGATGTCTGGGAGTAACACCTTCAGCAATTTCAGGGTAATCAATTTGGAACAACAAAGCCTGCTGGCCCGTTGCTGGATCTCGTTCTTTTGTTACCTGAAAAAAGGCAAATTTTAGAAAAATGAAACTTAAATTTTGCTGCAAACGTTTTATATCAAGAAATGACACAAATAATACACCTTATAACCAGGCCTCCCAATTTTGACAAATTTCTTTGGTTCCACTTTGACCTGTTGTGGTAAAGGCATGTAAGGCTGGTCAGTTGCTTCTTTTGCAGCACGTCGAGCCAAATTCGACTGATGCTTTTTGCCTTGTGTATGCGCCAAGTAGGAGCCTAAAATTCCGAATATATTGGAAGAACCAAACCGAACGATACGACTTTCAGCTTTTCCTGTCAGCAGTCAATATGTGTCGTAAATAAGGCTGCTGTCGAAATTCAAAAAACTCAAACCGTCATGTCCATAGAAGAGATTGCTAACAGTAAAGTAGGTTTGCCGACTTTTGCAAAATTTTGTTAAAATTCTTAACATTTTAACTGAGATCAAAACAAAAAATTACGAACTTATTTTATTACTGACCGCGCAATTTGACACCAATCAGAGCAAGAAATCTAAAGTAAAAAGTCTGAAGAAAAGTAAATCATCTATTTCCAAGGATAATTGGTTTGAAAGTTTTGTTTGTGAATATCAGCGTTTCCAGAATCATATATTACGTGTATCTACATTTATAGCTTACCCTCATTGTTGTGTAACGTTAAGCAAAGTTTGCATTCATAGCCACCCAGATGATTTTTCATAAAGTATGGGTCCTTCTGCAGATCGATTGTTTCCAACGCCAACTGACGTAACCTCTCGCGTCGGTCAACATTTGCGTCAGACCAGGATGCTACTCCGCCACCTCCAGTTTTTCCACCTGCACGATTTTGGAAATCCATGACCTGAAGTAACAAACGCCATAAAATGGATTAAACATCATGTGAATATTTAAATGGATTAAACATCATGCAAATATTTAACGACTTGCAGTTCAACGCAGTTCAATCCACAAATCAATTAACACTGGATAACAATTCCTCATATGAAGTAAACCAGGTAAACAAAGGAATGATGAGATCTTAAATTAATGAATATTTCGAGTTCTCATTTTTTTTCGAAGTCAATGGTGATAAGGATATAAGATGTCCGTGACTTCTAAAATAATACTTTACTAAGGATAACGAGTACCACTCTAGCTATTCTGTTAAATATAACCCTGACAAACATCCTTCACATGAATTAAGTCATCACGATCATCCGGTACAATATAATGCCTTAGAAAACAACTTGAACCTTCGACGATGATTCGTCACACTTCAAATCGAGAACATGGAGCACATGTCTAGCATTCACATGATACCTTGATTTTTGTTAAACCGTATGTTCGAGTCTATTTCAGGTCTATGGTACCAATGTCCCTAATCAAAAACACGTAAAAAAAGGAAATAATTAGCAAGCGAAAGGATGGACACAATGTCATTAGCGTGAAATTTGGCACGATGCCAACAACAATTGTCAATCCCTAGAATTATCATGGCCTTTGGCTTTTGAGTTGATCATTGTTCAAAGCCGACAGTTTCATAGCTATTCTATTTGTTGAAAAGAAACCCTCAGATAGAATATCACCAGTCCGTTAATCGATTCCTTCCTGCAGGGAGAAGGAATCTATCCTACAAAGATGTATTGCCTATGGTATTCGATAGACTGACGTTGCTTAACTCATAGCTTACATAACATTCTCAAAATGAATTCTGTGGTGAATGGTTTCGTTTTGGCTTCAGTAAGCTGAGCTGAGCTAGTAGGATAGTCTAGATTACTTTGCTTGAGGACTGGTATTGATCGAGATTGAACGGCGTAGCTATCGAGGCAGTTGTTTGGTGACTAAGTAATAAGGGGTTGTCTGAACTGTCTTGTGATGTGTCGTGAAGGGAAATTCTAAATTTGCTATCAATTTCTCAGTCAAATCCCTTGCAGCATTACTGAGTTTTGACAGTAGAGATATTGCTATAAAATACCTGACTGTGTCATCATGCGAGATTCCAAATTATTTTCCGTTGTTTAAATTCCATTATTCGCTGTCAAAATTTGAAATGCGTATCTCATTTTGGTGTACAGATCATAATGCCACTGCACTGGACAGAAGACAGATATACGGGAGTAGTGACTAGCTGGGATTTCGTTCGTCTGCAAGTTGATCTGATATGGATCTTCATGGTGTTCATATTCCGAGGTATCATTCATAATACTATGCTTAAATTCAGTTCCTAGTAGTTAAATTTTGATTATTTTTGAAATTTGAGACCAACAAGACTTTTTTTCAGCAGTAGATTGTAGCCAAATAGAAGTTAGTAAACATATGGAAATGGGACGACAGTTCCTGTCCAAGGGTCAATTTGTCGATGCCTTAAGCCATTATCATGCAGCCATAGGTTTTTTTTACGCATTATTTTTGTTATATATTTTATACCTATTTTATTACTTCGGTGTTTGATTTGCTACACTGTGAGTTATTTCACACAAATCTGTTTTGAGAGAAAAGGATTTTACGTTTTCGATACATTGCAGATTTAGATCCCAAAAATTATCAAACTTTGTATAGCCGCGCAACAGTGTACCTTGCTATTGGTAAATCCAAAGCAGCGCTGCCTGATCTGGATTCAGTGATTAGGCTTAAGCCAGATTTTATTGCTGTAAGTATGATGAATCTTTTTTCTTTTCACCCAAAAATATATTTGAATTTGAAATTAGCTGAACTTTGAATTCAAGGACATAGTTTTTATCATTTGAACTTTTGTTGAAGGCTCGCATCGAAAGAGGAAATGTGTTGTTGAAGCAAGGAGATATACAGCAGGCAAAGGCCGACTTTGAGGCTGCTGTAAGGTTTTAACTCTTTGACCCCGCTTTTATGCCGATTCTATAATTTGAAATACATTTCTCATCCTGGAATTTGTAACTTCAATAATGTATTTGTCGCATTTAAGATGCAGTAGATTATGTCGTATGTATTAACTGCTCAATCTTTATAGGCAAAAGCAGATCCATCAAATACAGAAATATCGAAGAAGTTGGTATCAATTGAAAAAGTAAGACAAATCATTGATGAAGCTGATGCTTATTTTGGTGCCGGTGATCATATTTCTGCAGAATCGCATTATAGTAGTGCTATAGAAGTAAGACTTCTTTATTCAACTTACACACCATTCACTTACCATTTGTCCACCGCGTGAGCACTCAACTTCAAATTTGCTATTAGAATTTTTAAATCAGTTTTATTTGTCGAGGTCTCTCTCTGTAAGAGAAATATTTACATTTCACCGCATTGTGAATGTTTATGATGTAGACACATTGCAAACGTGCAATTCAGAAATTACCTTGGTAGTTGTTGGCCACCGCGTGAACGTTCAACTTTAGAAAACCGTGTGCTGCGTACAGCTGTAATACTTTCAGAAAAAAGTTGCAGTATTTTATTGGTGTAATTTGTTAGGCGAACACGACTAATAACATCGGTATGATCGCAAAGCTGTAACTACATTAGAACGGGCAATCATCCAATTTCTACATTTTTTAAAGTAAATCGTTGACATTTAACCAGAAATTATCAAAAATAAGTAAATAAAAGAAGAAATTCAGGTTTGTCAGTGGCATGCGAATTTGTACAGAAATCGTGCAAAATGCCGAGAGAAACTCGGAGATGTGCAAAAAGCAATTGTAGATTATAGAACTGTCACGAAGTTATTGCCGGATAGCACGGAAACATTCTACAAAATCTCACAGCTTTATTATTTAACGGGTGATGTTGAGGAATCATTGAAGTAATGCATTTTTTAATATATTTATATATTTCAAATTTTCAGTTCATGTAAAATTAACATTAACCATACATTTTAATTATTATATACTACTTCTAACTATGGCGAAGAATTGTGATAAGGGCTAGAAGCTAGTGGCATTACCCAAATTATTTCTTTCCACTAAATATACATCCATTTTGATCATAACAGTGATTTCTTTCGCAATGATCTGTTTCGTTTGACATGTTTTTCTTGAAGTGCATAATGTAATGTAATGTAATGTGCATTCTATCTTTTTATATTTCTACTCAGAATCAATTGTTATCGCAGGAAAAAAAGAACAGGTTGGTATAGTATCTTGCGAGGAAAATTCCATACTGGAAGCAAAGTAACATTTAGATTTAAAAGATACCAGTTTAGTAAAAATTCAGCATATACTCAATGAAGTATTGTTTCAGTCAAGTGCGCGAATGTCTGAAACTAAATCCAGATGACGAGCTATGTTTTCCTTTTTATAAAAAAACAAAGAAGTTGGCGAAAATGCGTGAATCGCTTAATCAACTGGTGCGAGAAGAGCGGTGGATGGATTGTTTAGACAAAGCGATGCAAATCTTGAAAGCTGAAAAAAAAGTGGAGAATATTCAACTGGACGTCTACAAGCAAACATGCAAATGCAATCTAAAGGTAACGTATCTCGTGTTCTTACTTGATCAGTTTGGATTTGTAGGACTTCAATTTCTTCATTAAAATGCTGGTTTCGAAAGAAGTCATAAAATATAGAAAAATTTTCTTTCCGTTAGATTCCAGTCGTGGTCTCCTGTGGTACTGGCTCTTCCCACACAGTTATTTGCTTATTTTGACTGTTCAAAACATGGCTTCTATTAGTTGCACGCTATTTTGCATTAAAATTTTGACTTCCTTTTCTTTAAGGAAAATAAGGGGTAAGGGCAGTTTATCAAAGAGCTTGACGGAAACGGAGCGGACCGTGCTTTTATAGAATTTTCTCAAATAGTGTAGGACTTCTTTTGGAAAACTTTCTTTCCTGGTTTGTTTTTTAATAATTTAGTTGACTTAGATGATTTTCATGTATAGCAAGTAGTAGAAGTAGTTATGTACAATGGTGGAAACTCAAATGGTATTTTAACATCGTTTTTTTTTTTTTTTAATTTCTCACAAATCCTGATTACTTCAGTTTTTCGCTTTTGGTGCTAACTTAACTTTCAATTCAATATTTGGAGTTACTGTGCTTGGATGGAAGCAAAGTAGAGGGGACTTTTCGGCCGTAGTTGCAGAATAATGATAAATGATTATTTATAAGTTTTTAAAATCCAAATTTCGAAAGGAATCTTCAGGTGTATATAAATGGAAATGTTTTTTTTTTTTTTTTTTTTTGTTTTTTTTTTTCACTCGAAAAAGCTTTTCGCTGTGCGATTGGCTCCTAGTGACTCGTATTGATAATTTTTTCAGAAAATCATATTTAGGCTGGACACTTTGCTGAGTCGATAGCGGCTTGTTCGGAAGTGCTTAAATACGGTGATCCGAATGATCTTGATGTACTTTGCGATAGGGCCGAGGCATTTTTAATGTATGAGAAGTATGATGAAGGTTTGTATGAAAAAAATATACCTTTATGTATGCTTTTTTTTGGAGAAAAGCGGCTTGATTTAAGAATTGCAATAAGATACATGATTTTATTTTTTCAGCGATTGAGGATTATCAGAAGGCAGTGAATGGGCATGAAGAATCGGGACGAGCTAGGAAAGGTCTTCTCAGAGCGCAGAAACTGAAAAAACAAATGGGAAGGAGAGATTATTACAAAATCCTTGGCATCAGGAAGTAAAGTATTTTGTAGCTATCAGTAACTTTTTGTGCAACCTTTCTCTTTTAGAGGGCCAAGGTGATGAGTGTTGACTTAATATGTGCAATTTCAATCTTGTTGAAAATCCGGAACCTCTGTGACTTCACAAATTTTCATTCCTTCTCAATCATCAGAGCGAAATTACAATGCTATTTCTCTTTGGGAAAACTTAAGATAGTAATTGGAATTGAGAAATTTTCGAAATTATTTTGGTCATTAGCATTAGCAAGGTCATTAGCGAAGTCATTAGCAAGCTACACTCAGATTTAACTAAATTTTCAAATTTTTTAGAAATGCAAATGAAAGGGACATTCATAAAGCGTACCGGAAAAAGGCAAAAGAATGGCATCCAGATAATTTCAGTGACGAAAATCAAAAGAAAATAGCAGAGAAGTATTTTGTTGACATTGCAGCAGCAAAAGAGGTTTATTATTTTGGATTTTGCAGGACCAAAATGTACCATCCAGATGCTGTCTAAAATTTATTAGGGGTCTCAGATATTACAGTGGTACTTCTGAAATGAAAGGCCAAATTTTAGGTGCTCACTGATCCAGAAAAAAGGGCACAGTATGATAATGGAGAAGATCCGCTGGATCCGGAACAGCAGCAAGGAGGCTTCCAGCATCCCTTCCAAGGTGAATTCCCGTTTGGCGAAAATGGCGGCCCATTTTCATTCCAGTTTCACTTTGGCTAAATCTTGCTTGTTTGTTGTTTTTTTTTTGGATTAATTTATTTGCCTCTTCACGAAGTTAAGTGTATACGGGTTGTTTATTCTAATAATTTTGCAATTTCCTCTCTTATTTTCTCACAACATATAACATGGATAAACTTCCTTGTAGAATTTGGGCAACATGTCTTCCATGTACTGATGAGATTAAAATGTCCACTTTCACTTTTTGGTTCTGCTCACTTTCAAACCTCATCTAGTAGTCGAATCTGTGTCGGACATGTGATTCCTTTCACAAATATAAGCTTGACAATTTCTTATAAAAAGTCTGTGTTGGCATTGTAAATATCAGCAATGAATCTTTGGTGTGCATTGGAGGCATGTCTGCAGTAATGCTGAAATACTACCTTGCTCTCATTTCGCTATTGCTTTTATTTCTCCCGTTAGAGGTCAAAAGGTGATACCGTGGAGATATTTCTGTTATCTGTGGATCGTTAATGAATGAAACACTAGTCTGACTTCTCTATCACCTTATACTGTTATGCATGCATATATGGTATTCAGTTTTGCTTAATAAATCAAACGTATTTTCATGCCAAAGTGTAAATCTGGAATGTTTTTCGTATTTTGTTGGTTAAAGCTGAAAATTA